AAGGCTGCGTGGAGACCTCATAGCAGCCTTCCAGTATCTGAAGGGGGGCTATAGGGATGCTGGAGAGGGACTCTTCATTAGAGACTGTAGTGACAGGACAAGGGGTAACGGGTTAAAACTTAAACAGGGGAAGTCTAGATTGGATGTAAGTAGGAAATTCTTTCCTGTTAGGGTGGTGAGGCACTGGAATGGGTTGCCCAGGGAGGTTGTGAATGCTCCATCCCTGGCAGTGTTCAAGACCAGGTTGGACGAGGCCTTGGGTGATATGATTTCGTATAAGGTGTCCCTGCCCATGGCAGGTGGGTTGGAACTAGATGATCTTAAGGTCCTTTCCAACCCTAACTATTCTATGATTCTAAATATACTGAACCTAGCAATACAGTTCCACAAAAAGAAAACTTGCTTAATATTTGGTTTTGTATGCATGGCATTAAATGTTGAAAGGACTCACAGATGCCACATGATTGAGGGATAGTACAGGATGTCAAAAAAACTAAGGTGAACAGAATATATAACTGAAGCATGACACAAATTCTAAAAGGGTCATTTGAGGAGATGCTCCAACCCCTATGCATGTACTACTAGCCAAGTGGTTCAGTGCTACAAGCTGCCCACTCTACAGAACATGCCATACTTGTGAAGGAAAGCACATAAATTCCTTACAGAACAGAAAGGACAAAGTCCTGGCTGTCAGGCATCAATAGCAAAGTGTCACTGACCTCTTTTGGGGCCAAAGAACACCCTAAGAAGAACAAAGAAGATTGTATGTACTCTTCTGTTAAAAAAGCCTAACCAGCTAATTCCAGTTATGCTGGAACACTGTAAACAAAATCAATATAGGAAAGTTGTAGTCTAGTAAATAACTTGCCTCAACATAGCTACATCTGCATTGTCCATAGTAGCTTCTGAGAGAAAGAATGGGACTGAAAGTCAAAGTTCTCTCTCAAAAGCCAACTCAGTATCTGGTAAGAATGTGTTTTGGAATAATGTTTAAATCTCGGTAAGATTTAATACCCAATTTCCTTAAACTGGCATAAATCAGAAGAACTGGAAGCTTAACAATGTAGAAGAAAGAGATAAAAATGAGAACTGAATCAAGCTACCTTGTTACTAATGTTATAGTGCCTATACAGCATGCTAGTATGCAAAAAAGTTACTCCTGTTCCTGAAAAGCTTGAAAACCCAGTAAATTAACCTTACTAGATTTTAGCAAAGAGATAAAATCTCAGCTAATTCAAAGACCAGGTGGCATGTTTAACTTGCCTTACTTCTGATTATAGGAAAGAGCTCCTGTTTTCTATAGTTTAATTCAATTCATACAAGGCCCCATCTATAACATCCACATGTCAACTGTTTCTGAATATTCTGAATTTAGATCTAAGCTAAGGAACAGTCAGAAGTCAAGCAGTCTATTTCTGAGATACCGAATGAAGGTTTAAACAGTGGATCAGCCATTCAAGCCCATTTTCTGTAATTCCTCTCCTCACTGCAAAATCCCACTGTATTTGAGTTTGTGCTATGATGTTTTCTGAGCTTGTCAGTCTTACAGCTGGAAAGTAGCCAACTTCTGGCTAGAGCAAAAGAAGCTGGTTTTATTCCAGCTTTTGGCATGTCTTTACAGCCCTATCAAATGTCACTGCTGTGTGATGCTTAGTTTTAAACTGAGAAACTATGAGAATTGTGAAATCTTGGGAAACTTGCCTGGTGAAAGAGCTCACACTGTGCATGTATGCATGGGAAGGGAAAAGGTTGAGCAACTTAACCCCCAGATATTGGAGTGACTTGAGAGAAATTGATACGAAAACTTTTTGGCTCAAATTTGAAGGACAGAATGCCAAGTTTAAGGACAATCAATAGTCAGCTTTGTGTTACGCCATGACCAAATCATGCAAAATTGGTTTTGGTAAGACCACAGTTTCAGGTGATGGTAGCACTGTAAAATCACTTGATGTTCTGACATTTTCTTTCATCAGGAATATTGAAAAACTCATAGAATAGGACATTTTTTAAAAGCTTTCATTATCTGGAACTCAAATCTTATATAACGATTTCTACGTGGCTGTTTGCATTTGCACACTAGTTCCAGAAAAGTGGCTGAAATTGGTAAGTTTCTCTTCTACATTCTGTTAGAAATACTGCTGTAATGTTATCTGATATCTACAGAACTGAAAGAAGACAATGTTTGTAAGTATAGAAAATATCTTTTTATACCCTTTCACTTCAGATTATTTTAGGTCTGGTTTATGTGCCCAAAAGCTTGCACAAAAGTTGGCTTGCCTTTTCTTAACATAGGGAAGTCAGTAACATTGTTTTCCGTATCTCATTAGATTATTGTGGCTACCACACAATCATTAGAAGATGGAAAATAAAACTATTAGCTGTTGAACATATGCTAATTGGCACAACACATTCACCAACAAACTCTGTCTTGACTTCGGAACACTAGTGGCATGACACAGAACCTGTGATCTCCTTTTTCATATCTTTTCCTTTTTCCCTACACCTTTCAGTTATAAATCATGCTGCAATTGCACTGCCAATCATTAGGTCAGAAGGACCAACCATTTGTGCTGAAAGATTCTTCCTATACTTAAGATTCATCACTGCTGCAGCTCCACAGCCTTGTCCTGGGCTGCATCACCAGCAGTGTGATCAGCAGCACGAGGGAGTGGATTCTCCCCCTCTACTCCAATTTGGTGGGACCTGCACTGCAGTCCTGCATCCAGCTGTGGAGCAACAACACAAGAGGGATGTGGAGCTGTTGGAGCAAGTCCAGAGGAGACCATGAAGATGCTGTAAGGGCTGGAGCAGCTCTGCTCTGGAGACAGGCTGAGAGAGCTGGGCTTACTCATCCTGGAGAAGAGAAGGCTCTTTAAGGGGAGACCTTAGAGCAGCTTCCAGTGCCTAAAGGGGTTGACAAGAAATCTGGAGAGGGGCTTTGACAAGGGCCTGTAGTGACAGGACAAGGGAGAATGGCTTTGAACTTTCAGAGGGGAGACTGAGATGAGATATCCAGAGGAAGCTCTTTACTGTGAGAGTGGTGAGGTGCTGGCACAGGTTGCCCAGAGAAGCTGTGGCTGCCCCATCCCTGGAAGTGCTCAAGACCAGGTTGGACAGGGCTTGGAGCAACCTGGTCTAGTGGAAGGTGCCCCTGCCCGTGGCAGGGGGGTTGCAACTGGATGAGCTTTAAGGTCCCTTCCAACCCAGACCATTCTATAATTCTATGAGGGTTAGATGAGTCAGTGGTAACAATGATGCTGAAGCTGAGCCTGAAATGCAACACCTACTAGTGGATCAGGACTGCTGGTAAACTTACATCTCTGAGGTTTGCTAGTGTGGGCAGAGCTTCTCAGTCTCCAGAAATATTTTTAAATGACATTTCCCTAAAAAAACCAAACAAGTCACATGCTCCTTTTGCACATCCTCCTACCAGCTGCAGAAACCTACCTATTTATCCTTAACTTTGAGAGCCAGTGAAACATATATTTAAAGTGAGTGTGCACCTCCTACTCCCAGCTGCAGATTCCTATGCCACTTTCCCATTTTCAACTATGACCTCATAAATATAGTCACAGAATATCACATTTTTCCCTATGCCAGCTGTACTCTGACTGCTGAACCCTTCCTCATTTCACCATTCTGAGTCATGATATCTTGATATTCAGTTATATATAAAATATGTAAGTCATCTTTTCCCTCTCTCTTCCCAAGCAGTAAACTCCTCTTTCATTTTTCCCTGAAGCAGAAATTGGAGCTTTGTGCTATTCTTAACTCTTAGTGACAAATAGGTAATAACAGAGTACAGAAGTAGCTCCAAAAACCAAGTCAGAGAATTGGTCAGGATCTTAAATTCTTCTTGTTACATTGAAGAGATGACAGAAAATTAATTTTCTATTTTACCTTCACATTCTCAACTCTGCTATTCCTTCTTGCATAATTTTAGTAGTGTATCTTGGACTGGAAGCTATCACAGATTGGCAGCTGAGGCTACTGGTGCAGGAGGAAACGCACAAATAGTACATAATACTTACATCTCCCCTTCCAGGCACCACAGCTGGCACAACAGAAACATCTGTCTTTACTGCATAAAAGAGTATTAGGGCAAGATGGCTGTTGACCAGAATATACTGTGCTGCAGCAGTACAGAACAATATAAAAGCCTCTAGAGGCTGATACAACTTGGAGGACTACTATGTCCTGTCAGCTCTGCACAGATGACAGAAAGACATCCAGGTTGCCAAATGACAACGTGGGAAATCTTGTGGCTTGGCATATGCTCTACATTTACTGCTTCTGTATTGAACTATGGAAGAGCAAAAGCCTTGGGAAACTCTCAGAGGACCTGCAATGACACTGAAGGACTTCAGCCTCACATCTCTGAAAATGAAAGTCAGTCTTTCCAGTTTGAGGGATGTGTCAGTAAAATCAAATTAGGAAATGACCTCTCTCTCTTTCAGTTTTCTTTCTTACTTGTCTTTGGTTTATATCCTGCTCGAGAACAGTTTCTTTTTAAAAGTATTTAACCTCTTATGTAAAAAAAAATAAAAAAATTCCTACGGAAATATTTGATTCTACAAATGCCCAAATCACCCTGTAACTTCCTGACAACATCCTGATGGAACCTGCATTTTCAGCATTCGTCCGTGTTTTTAGACCACAGCTATAAGAAACAGAAATATGAAAGCAAAGTTTGGAAAACTGCTCTTGAGCTATGTCTGTGATGGAGAGGCATTATTAGGAAGAAGAAAATACGTAAGCATGAGCCCAAGGGTCTTACAAGAAGATCCTTGTCTCATAGAAACTGACTTTGGTAGCAATCCGAAACAATTTGCACCAGCTGAGAAGCTGCTTTTCATGTCATCAAATAGCCTATTTTCTCCTTTGCTTTAACTGTAGAGAAGAATCTTATTGTTTTATAAGAATTACAGCTGAAAAGTGCTATGGATAAGCATTACTTCACTACTTTTTCTTCTTCAAGCAGTAGAGTCATCATAACTTACAAAAGCCAGTCAACAGCAACAAGCAAACTGATGTCCTGGGTAGGGAGACCCACTGCAGTAAGGATCAGCAGCATAGTGACAAGTCCCGCGCTGGGAATACTGGCAGCTCCAACACTTGCAAGGGTGGCAGTCAAACTGCAAAAACAAAAATCAAATGTGGGTAGCAGGAAGAGGAACATAAACTTTCATTGCATGCTTATGTGATCATTAGGAAGCTCTTATTTTTAATGAGTTCCCCCAAAAACTAATGACTATATGAGAGACCATGGTAATGTCAGGCCCCAGTTTTCATGCTTCTATTTCTCAGAAAATATTTATTTGGGAAGGCCAGATCTATGGGGTTTATTCTGAGACTTGTAAGAGAGCTGTTTGAGGTTGAACTCTGTAAGTTGGTTATGATATTCAAATCTTTTGCCTGACAGAAGGCTGGGGCTGACCCAGACAATCCAGGTTGTGGTGTGTTTCTCAGGTGTCTGGGTTAGAGTACAGCCTGGCCTACTGAACACCTGGGTAGGTCCAGCAGATATACAGGCAGGATAGTTTGCTCCGTGGTCAGGCTTCACAGATGGTGCCAGCTCCTCCGGCACTTCCAGCTTGAACTGGTAAGGGATTGCTTTTGCTGTCCCACAGCAGCACTTAAAGGGCTGCAGTGGAATGAAGGCCTTTAGACCTCTGTTAAGGTCTAACCATGCTGGCTTAGCTACCATTTCCAGTATCATCCTCTCCCAAAGGAGAGGAAATCAGAAGATCTACATGACAAATAGGAAGTACCTAGGACTAGTTTAAAGGCTAGTTAAGTCTTTGTGAGTCTGTGTCTGGGTGATGTGAATATCCTCAGTACCACAGACTGGATTTGACAGAAAACACATAACAACCTTTCATTCATTTGTATTTCCACCACAAGAGACAGCTAACAGTGATACTGTTGTAGCAAAAACGGTATAGAGCATGAAGAGGAGAACCAATTGTTTTCTTACAGTTAGCCCAAAGTTGCCACCTGCTCAGTAAATATGAGTCCCAAAGCTGGCTACACCAGCCTTGAAATGGTTGATCAGGAAGAGCTAACAGGTCAGTCTCTCAGAGGAGGGTGGTGAGGCCCTGGCACAGGTTGCCCAGAGAAGCTGTGGCTGCCCCATCCCTGGCAGTGTTCAAGGCAAGGTTGGACAGGGCTTTGAGCAACCTGGTCTAGTGGAAAGTGTCCCTGCCCATGGCAGGGGATTGGAACTGGATGAGCTCTAAGGTCCCTTCCAACCCAAACCATTCCAGGATTCTATGAAGAGAAGTAACTTGGGCTCAAGCCTACCAAATTTCCTGGACAACAGTCGATTCCTGACTTGAATTTCTATAGTCTAATTTAGCTTGATATGTGGCAACTCTGAAATGACTGTTTTCAGTCTTAGCAACAAATACATAACACACAGGCCTCACATCTGACTTCATTAGAAGAAGCCCAGAACCCTTCACAAACCTTGGCTTTATTATTTCAGGGGTTGGGGTAAGAAGTGAAAAAAAAAGGAAAATGTGGAACTAATATAGCTGTGAAAGAAACATGGAATTAGACATACCTTTGTAGGAGTTTCTTTAGTGTTAAATAGTTTCTTTAGTGTTCTTTAATAAGAGAAAGGTGGGTGGGTGAAAACTGCAGGAAGAAGGCAAACTTGGCAGCTTTTACTTGTGGTTTCCCTTGTAACTATTCAAAATGTTAGGCCTGGTGTCTTCATCAAGTTTTCCACAGTAAATTAACTTTCGCTGTAGCAGTCATAACTTTGCCATTGTTTTTTATTAGTCACTCTACCTAATAGGTCTTAAAATTGCATTACAGTAAACAGTCTTCAAGAAATTCTTTCCTGTTAGGGTGGTGAGGCACTGGAATGGGTTGCCGAGGGAGGTTGTGAATGCTCCATCCCTGGCAGTGTTCAAGACCAGGTTGGAAGAGGCCTTGGGTGATATGATTTAGCCTAAGGTGTTCCTGCCCACGGCAGGGGGGTTGGAACTAGATGATCTTAAGGTCCTTTCCAACCCTAACGATTCTATGATTCTATGATTTATCCATTTTCAATGGTTACATTCCTTTGTCCTTTCAGATATTCAGCTGACTTAGATATGACAATTCGATACAAAAAAGACTAGAGCTAGCACTTGCTGGGTTAGAGATAAAAAGTCTGGGAGTATCCAGACCACACTGCAGACATTCTCAACCTCAGACTGGGCTATTCTCAGCCAGTTTGTTTGCTGTTCACCAAAGTCACAGTAAAAGTACAGGCAAACATAAATATATGGGTACATTTTTAGGTATACTTTTTCCTTTGACTGTATATAAACAGATACAGTCTAGAATGTTAATGCCCCATGTATCACTTGTAGCATTCCTCTGCACTAAAAAAGGCACTGCACTGGAGAGAGAATTAAGTATTTCCCATTGTATCGTCAACTGCAAGACTCTGTAGAACACCACCAGCATGGACTAAGCTTGCAGATGATAGAAGAAGCGTGTCACCAGAGAGCCAGGACCTATGTATATGACATTCCTTTGCATATATTATTAGAAATCCATGGATTTCAAAGTGAATATCACAGCTACTGAGAAGACGTCCAGCCCAAAGCTTCACATTTTACAGTCTGTGGAGACAAAGCCTACGAGTATTTTGAACTGACCTCACAGTAACTATCTGGCCTCCATCCAGCTCAATTCCATTCATCTGTGCTATGAAGATTGCAGCCACAGCTTCATAAAGGGCAGTTCCATCCATGTTAATAGTTGCTCCAACCGGAAGAACAAACCTTGTTACACGCTTATCAATGCCTAGATTTTCTTCAAGGCACCGGAATGTGACAGGTAATGTTCCAGCACTGAAGGACAGAAAGCAAGAGTAGAGAAGGCATAATTACAGTATAACATAAGGGAGGAAAGTCAGATATTCTGCTATCATTGTCTACACTTTCTACTTCCACTTTCTGCTGTGATTCAAGTGATTTTTAGCCAATTTTTAAATGAAGCCTTCATTTAGCTGGAGGTGGGCCAACACATGAACATGACTTGAAGTAGGGATGAGAGCTTGAGAGAGTGTAGATGAACTTTTCATACACATTTATGGATTATTCCTTGTATTTTGTTCAAAAGGACAAGTTCCAGATGTTTTCTGATGGACAGAACTATAAGCATAGGGACAAATACTAAATTTCTTTGAATGTGAATTTGCTCTGACTGGAGAAAACAGTGTTGCATTAAGGAATGAAAAAGCTAGGCAAAAAGATACAACCCATCAAGTTCCCAGACCCTGGAGGACAGGAAGGATATAAAACACAGCTGGAGGACAGGAAAAGATGTGAAAGACGGCTGGAAGACAGGAACAGCTCCTTGTACAGATCCACAGTGCCTTGCTGGATTTAAAATGAAAGAGGGAAGATTAAGGTTCAACATAAGAAAGAAGTTCTTCACTATGAGGGTAGTGAGCTACTGGCACAGGTTGCCCAGAGAAGCTGTGGCTGCCTCATCCCTGGCAGTGCTCAAGGCCAGGCTGGACAGGCCTTGGAGCAACCTGATCTAGTGGAAGGTGTCCCTGCCTGTGACAGGGGGTTGGAACTGGATAAGCTTTCAGGTCCCTTCCAACCCAAACCAGTATGTCATTCAATGAACAGTTCAGGCTATTAAATGCACTTCCTCAAAAATTCACTTTCATCAAAAATTACTGCTGAAAACAAACATATTCTTTTTTCCTGTAGATTCAAATATCTCCTACTTTCTTCACTATCAGGTCTGCCTGTCTCAGGCAAAAGACTTGCTGCAACAAGCATGAAACTCAACACAGGAACATGTTTTGGTTTCTTACTTTTTTGTATTCTCTCTCCACTTGGTGGAGCAAATCTATTGTGGTTGATTTGCTTCAGTGGGCAGAATTTCTCAAAGGTCTTCACTACTGTATCCCACTCATTCTGGTGCCATTGCCCCTATAAAAATACTAATTTGCTCATAGAAGAGTAAAGGACTAGACTCACCATATTTTCTCACATAAATACTTACAACATATTCTTGCTAGTGCCTTGCAACTTCAGGGTCTTTCCAACTCATTCATTCATCCACTACAATAGAGATGCTAATTGGGTACAAAAAAATGCAATCTTTCCATTTTACAGATAATTAAACCATGGAAAAGGGAGATTAAGGAATGATTGAGATACCTAACTATATATAACTTTATAGTGTTATATTAAACATCCTAGGTTATCAGGTAGAATCACATGAGGCTGACCTATCTCACATGGGACCTATGGAAAACTCAAACTGTTCTGGACTGGCAGATGCCCAAATCACTCCTCTTGTACCACATCTATGGAAACATGAGTTCGAAGATATAAACTTCTAGATCCCCATCTTGTGCTCAAATGATTGGACCATTCTCTGTTCACAGACGTGATTTTTTTAACAGACTTCGATAAGCCAGATACACGGTACCAAACACTTGCGTTTTAGCATTTTTACAAATATATTTGTATTTCTTTACTGTGGATTTAATCATAGATAATCACATGTTTAATATTCTGTGCATTTAGCTAAATCAGAGAGAATTCATACTTTCTAAAACCACGTAATATATTCTCTCATGAGATACTCTAGCACCTATATTTGTAGCAGATAGCAGAAAATATCTAGTGAGTCATTAATCAATAATTAGTAGGCAGTTTTCAAGTCAGTTCCAGGATCACCTTGCCTCCTACAGAAAAGATATTCTGATATTTTACCAACAGAAAAATAGAATAGGAAATGTAGTTCACGGACACACACTGAAACTCAGCCAGATACAGTTCTTTTTTCTTCAGAAGTGTAAGTTCTGTCTTACATTTACTGTCACAAATCAGATCATCAGTACAAAATGCGTACCAGCCATGGCCTACTGTTGTTGCAATGAACCCCAGCTGGCTCAGGAAAGCAGGGACTATACAAATATCTTTCCCCTTCAGTTCTGCCACTATAAGCAAGGACAGGTGAGCAGGCCATGGAGACAAGGTTTCTTTATTGGAAGAGCAAATTGTAGATGCCTTCCACAACTCCTCAGCCTGGCCAAAGAGCTTTAACAGGTTGCTGAAAAGGAACTATCTGCAACTTCCAGAGGTGCCAGGTTAGACCATATGATGGTTATAATTGTCCTGTGATCACATGTCTGTGGTGCTATGTCCACATCTGCTTAGCCAGTAATTCAGATCTGGATAGCAGTCAGGTGGTAAAGGTAGTGTCCAGGAAAATCCATATGCTGGAAACACTTAGAATCTCTTATATCTTTCCACTTTGGTGCTCCAGCAGGAAAACATTACTTCATGCTAATAAACCCCCATGAATGTTGTGTATGGACACTGTAAATCTGGTAATGAAAATCTAAGTGGAAACTCAAACACTTCAATGAACAAAAGCCTTAGGGAAATTGTGGTTTAGTGAACCTCCTGGCCAGACTATATCTCCTATAATCTGCATTGTTTATCACAGAGCCACAGAATTATTGAAGTTGGAAGGCACCTCTGGAGGTCACCTATTCCAACCACTTTACTTAAGGCAGGGGTAGCTAGGACAGGTTACAGAAGGCCATGACCAGACAGGTTTTGTGTATCTCCAGGGACAAAGACTCCATGACTGCTGTGGGCAACCTGTGCCAGCATTCAACCAGTCACAGTAAATCACAGTAAAGAGATTATTCTTGTATTCAGATGGAATTTTTGTATGTTTCAATTTGTGCCTACTGCCTCTCGTCCTGTTGCTGTGCATCACTGAAAAGAGTCTTGCTTCATCTTCTCTACACTGTCCCATCGGATATTTACGCACGTAAGATCCCCTCAGAGCCTCTTGTTCATCAGGGCAGAAGTCATGCAGTAGAGTGATTTGGGTTGGCCAAAAGAGGCAGATGAATTATAATTCTTTCAAGGCATTCCTGAAATCATAATGCTACTTTTCTGATGGTCAGTTTTGAACTAGGCTTTTTTGTCTTCAACTTTTTGATTAAAATCGAAGATTATATTTTCTTCACAAATAAAACATTTATTGAAGAAAAACATTTTAAAACATGGTATTTAACTGAAAAAATATTTTAAACACAAATTTACTGACTGCCTCAGTGCAAAATATCAACATATTACTGACAGGTAAGTTGCCTACATACTTTGTTGAGTCTGTTCTGTTCATTAGCAATGAGTCTAAAAGTGCTCATCTCTAAAGTCCCCTTACTCTGCTAAAACAGATAAAAGAATGAGGGTTTTTTTTTATTTCTTTCTTGAAATCTAGCACTGTTTATATTTTTCCCCCAATGCAATGAGACTGGTATTAACATGCTTTCAAAATAAATAGAATTATCACTGTTTCCTAGGTGAGGTACAAGTACAGGGTAAAACAATTTGCACAAGTCATTTGGTCAATGCCAGAATGGAAAATAAAAAGTGTGTCTCTCAACTGTCTGCAGATGGCTGTACAACCTCTCTATAAAATCCTGACGCTGTGTGGTTATGTTTGTTTATTTCAACATGCTGGATTAAAAACAGTTTTTATTCAATAGCATAAGATGATTTTGCAGCAAAGACCAGAACAGCATATGTACTACCTCTAAACAGCAGCTAAGAATCTGCTAAAAAATAAAGCAAGACATTATTTCCCAATTGTACCTGGAAGCTGTGCCTAGCGCTGTGATCCATGCCTGGAAAATCCCAGCAAGGAAGGAAAATGGGCTTTTCCTTGTTATCACAAAGTAGAGCAGAGGCAGGAAGATCCCTCCATGAATGAGAAGACCCACAATCACAGTGACCATGTACATGCCAAGTTGTCTAGCAACTACTTCTAAGTCCTTGATTGCAATGATTTTTCCACAAATGAGGCAAGCAATGCCCAAAGGGGAGTACCTGGAGAAAGAGAACAAGCATAAACAAGAACCAGTCTTTGCCTTGTAGTCATAAAAATTGTCCTCAACAGAATAGAGACTGGAGGAAGGGTAGGAGGCTCTCAGGCTCAACACTGAGATGCAGTTCAGGAATTGATGGAAATTCAATGGATAGCTTTCACATCTTTTAAAAAATAATGGCTATCTCCAGCAAATGCCCTATCTACTCCATTTTATTCCATCCCATTGAATGGAATATGCATTTCCTGAAAAGTCTTCGTTCCTGGAATAACACTGTACAAAAATACTATAATGTTACGCAGGCTTGGATCATTATGAAGATTGGTTTAGTACTTGTTTTTAATACATAACTTTTACAACCCATTGCTTATCTGGTTTCAGAGAGTTGCATTATTTTCTTCAGTTAAATTATTTGTTGAAATGAATCACTTATCCTGAAGGCTGCAACTGTTTCTGTTATGTTCTTTAAATAATTTGGACAAATGTTTCTTAGTTCATGGATTCTTCATTAATTATGTGCTTTCCTTACTTAGGGCAGGGTTTTTGTCACCTCAGTCATGTTACTCCCCAATGGCATAAACAGAACTTTTAAATAGGGTGATAATAGTAGCATAGATTGATAGTAAAAAGATTTGAAATTAATGGATATTCTTTAAAAAATTTAATAGTGAGAAATGCCTGAAAGTGCATGGATAGACCATTTATACATACACTGATAAAGATTACTACCTTATATAATTTTAAATGACATTCCCTGTATCTGTTTCATAAAATGTAAGCGGAAAGTAAAGTGTGTAACAGTGGAGAAACTTTACGGTTTGGTTCTCTGAAAATAAATGGTAATGCATCTTTTCAAAAGGAATTAGTGATTTGGATGCTTAATTAAAAACCATAGAAAGGAAACTGACTTTCAAAATAAAGGTGCTTCATGTTTTATGTAAGAAACATCTGAAGAAACATCTCATGGTCTCTCAAGCAATGTGCCCCAAACCTTGAAAGCACACTTGAAATGCAAGGCCAGCTGTTACAGCAGTTATCATAAAAGCCACGTTTCAATGAACTTGACAAAACATATATCTTATAAAGAATTACATGGTGTTAGAGCCAGATGTCTGCTTTATGTTCATGTAGCAATGCCACGCTCCTGAGAGTCTGGAGTTGCCACAGGGGTTACAGTTCTCTGTGCAGAGAAATCATAAATGAAACAGAACATAACCCTGCATAAAGAAGTGCATTTGTCTTTATAAACACACATTTAAAAAACTGCTTTTGGTCACAACAGGTCTTTAAAAATTCTAGACACAGATGAACAAGTGGAATTCTCAACATCAGCCTCCTTTCTCAAGAGGAGTAAAAAGCACATCAGTAAAAAAAACAGTGAATATCTTGAATCTTGCATGATTTCCTGCTATTGCAACACTACTAGAGACAATTTATACTGTAGGCAAGGTATTGTGTCCAATTGTGTACCAATTGGTGCTAAGTAAGAATAGCCCTTGAAGTGTTACGAGAGTATAGTCACTGGCTCTCTACAGACTTGAGAACAGCAAGGTTTTGTAAATAAAACCAACTGCATTTTTATGCAGCAAGATTGCTTACAGAAAAGCAGAAACACAACAAGAATAAAAGTAATTGCTTCATGTTCTTTCTTTTGTTCTAGACATTTCCACATCACTGTCACTATCTGCATCACTCTTGCAAAACAGTGTCCCTTTGAAACACTGATGATGCTGGATACTTGCACCTTAGGCACCCTGCTTCCTTTTCTACCAACTGTGTCCATCTGGAGCCTCAGAGAAGAGGCATACTGCAGGCCTGTAACTCAGGAAACACCTTCCAGGGCCACCAGGGAATCATAGGGAGCAACGAGCCATGATACACATGTTGTAATAGAGTACCTATTTCTGCTCTCAAAGACCTGGGAGATACGAAACACAGTGGTATAATGCTTTTTTATGTTCTGAAAAACTGGATTTGTGCGATATGGCCACACTTGGCACGGTGCACAAAGAGCTCTGGGGAAGCCCTTGGAAGAAAAACCTCAAGAAAAGGAAAAAAAAAAATAGAGAATCCCCTTCCAGAAATGTGAACAAGGGTTCAGTCCTAACTGGGTAAAATCACCCCCCTGAAGGCAAGCAAAGCCCCATTATTACAAACGGGTATACTTCCAGTGACCCCATTGTGGCAAGGCTGTAAGACACAGATTCTGCAGAAACCATGGGTGGAGGGACTACGCATCACTGAAAATTGCTGGAATTTTATTTGGTGGTAAAGTATTTTTACTACAGAAGGTAGTGAATAAAGGGCGTCTCCAGGCTTCTTTGTAATCGTACCTCCTAGCTAATAGCCTGCTAGCCTCCCAGGAAGATTTGGATATTCCGATGTGGGGTGTTCTTGCTTGCTTATGTGTCTTTCTGTGTAATGAACTTCCACAATCAATGTGGTATTTGAAGGCCTTTGATGGTACCTGCATGCCTTGGATTTAATTAATAATAATTCAGAAATTTTTCAAATCGAGTCCTAAACAATCCTCACCCACTAGAAATAATGCTGCTATGGTTCTAACACACCTGTTAAGGCTTTAAAAAATGAACTACTTAATTACATTGTTTACTAACAAATTGTGGTCACTATATGCTATATCAAGGGTTAATAAAGTTGTTTCAAATATTTTTTTGTTCTAGAAGTTAAAACTTCAAACTCACCACATGATCATAGTTACCAACTTCATTACAATCTCATTCAGGATGTTGAAGAAATCCACCATCATCTTAGCCTGTTCTCCCATTTTCCCCATAGCAATGCCAAAAGCAATAAAGAATCCTATCAAACCTATTGGAAAAAAAAACACAGGACAAAAAAAAAAAAGCACAAATAAATCCATGGATTTTAGGAAGGTTTTGAACCTGGTCAATGCCTTGATACTACTTGCTAATACAGTTTTCAGAACTATAAAGTATTACACACCTCTTGGGAGTTTTTACAATGAAGTCACTCTCCCCTTGCATGATCATAATCAAAATATCTTTTATTCTTCAGTATTTTACTAACTTAACTTCCAATTTCACAGGCCAACTATGCGGTGTTCTTTTTTTCTTTTTTCCTGAACTGATCCGATCACCAAAGATATACCTATACCCTAATCTTCTCAGTGCCATGCAACTGTTAGAAACCTCATAGCCCCTGGCAGATGGGAGAGGCAATACAGTGCTGTACCGTGACTCTTCATTGTTGTTAAAACAGTCACTAGAGACCAAGAGTGTTTTCCTCAACCTTTACAAAAGCTTCTTGACAGTATCAACCTACAGACTAGATAATCAGTCTTAGAGTACAGGGAAAGGCAAAAGCAGCCCTGGAACATAAATTTCACAGGCCAGGAGCATTCCAGTTAAATGAAGAAAGTGGCTGCAGGAGGAGAAGGTGGGAGAACAGACAGCAACTTTTGACAAGAGCATTAAGTGACAGGACAAGGGGAAATGGCTTTAAACTGACAGAGGGGAGATTGAGATTAGTTAGTAGGAAGAAGTTCTTCCGACTGATTCAGAGAAATCTCCAGGAATGCGCCAACAAAGTTTTGACAAGCAGGTATTCTTTATTGCGGCACCAGGACCTTGGCTTGTTCAGCCTGGAGAAGAGAAGGCTCCTTAAGAGGAGACCTTAGAGAGGCTTCCTGTGCCTAAAAGGGCTGACAAGAAATGTGGAGAGGGCCTTTTGACAAGGGCCTGTAGTGACAGGACAAGGGGGAATGGCTTTAACCTGACATTTAAAGGAGACATTTAGATTAGATATTAGGCAGGAGTTCTTTCCTGTGAGGGTGGTGAGGCACTGGCACAGGTTGCCGAGAGAAGCTGTGGCTGCCCCATCCCTGGAAGTGCTCAAGGCCAGGTTGGATGGGGCTTGGAGCAACCTGGTCTAGTGGAAGGTGTCCCTGTCTGTGACTGAAGGTTGGAACTGGATGAGCTTTAAGGTCCTTTCCAACCCAAACTGTTCTAGGATTCTAAGATTCTTTGATTTTACTTTAAGCTAAACCACAGAACTCCCATTAAGCAGATTAATCTCACTGAAACCAGCTATCAGGGGATACATGATCACAGAATTCAGTAAGAGCAACATTTGGCTCCTAAATTTAAATGCTTAGGTGTGAAAGTCTGGAGCATTGGATTATCAGTGTGAAAAACCGAGTGCATCTGTCATGTATTACTTTGGAGCTGTAGCTCCAATGCTAACCTTTAACGTCCAGCAATTTTCAGTGGGATTAGTAACTGATACTGAAACAGTTTGAATCTTCAGCCACCCTTTGAGGCTAGTCTGTCATAATATGATTTCAGCATTTAAAATATGTGTGAACTCAACTGGGAAATTCCTAAGGAAAAACCCATCAGGACACAAAAGTATTCAAGAGAAGGGAATTTCAGCTACTGGCACTCTGGGAAAAGACAAGCTGTCCCATATCCTCACACTGGGTTTAGCAACCAGATTTTTTTCTGCTTCCCTTTTAATCCAATCTCCTGGATATGAAGTAATTTCTTAGCACTAAGCTATCTTTGTTGAGTCACTTGAATAAGGAAGTGAAGTGTATGCTTGTGTGCTGTGGAGCGCAGAGAAATTATTAAAAGCTTTTCAGTCAAAGACCAAGTAACTTCCTGGAATTCAGACACTGCACCAGAATATGTTAGTAGGTGGTTTTGTTCGTTAATTCCAAATGAGCTGCTGTATTAGTCATGAGAGTCAAGTTGGTTCATATTTGCAGGAATTTGCCTGGCTTGTACAGTTTATGCAAGCTGGCTGGCAATTCCCCAATTTTCACTTCTTCATTCAAAACCAAACAAAACTCTGGAACATTTGAGTCATTGGTCAAAATACTACAGCAAATCCCACACCTAAACTGTGTATTTCCTTTATGTGGGAATTGTATTCAGCCTTCTATCTCTTTTCTTATCCATAACAGTTCCTGCACAGAAAAGTCCAGCACTAAATGCAATGCATCTCTCACATGAGAAATACTGTCTCATTTTAATGCATAAGCTCTGGAAAATTAAAAAGCAGGTGAGGATAACAGCATGAGTAATGATCTGTTGCCTCATGCAGGGTGCAATTTGCAGCTTTGAAAAAAAGCAGCTCCTCTGCCCACAGACACTGAATGGAAGGAGGAGCTGCGGAGGTGGCTGAAACAGTGGCTCTTGTAAAGCCAGCTTCTTCACAGAGAAACAAGTAATCTCTGATCAGCTCTTGACAAGGGCCTGTAGTGACAGGACAAGGGGGAATGGCTTTAACCTGACAGAGGGAAGACTGAGAATAGATATTGGGCAGAAGTTCTTCCCTGTGAGGGTGATGAGGCCCTGGCACAGGTTGCCCACAGAAGCTGTGGCTGCCCCATCCCTGGCAGTGTTCAAGGCCAGGTTGGACGGGGCTTGGAGCAACCTGGTCTAGTGGAAGGTGTCCCTGCTCGTGGCAGGGGGTTGGAAGTGGATGAGCTTTGAGGTCACTTCCAATCCAAACCATCCTATGGTTCTATGAGCTTGGTGGTGCTGTTTCTCCTGTGACTAAACAAAGCAGCTGCTGTCAACTGTCTCGCCAACACCTGGAGAAGCTCTGCAGGCACAGCAGCCACAGTGTCAGCAGGAGCAGCACATCAGCTGCAAGGAATCTGTAAGGGGCCATTTATTTGCCCCTAAAAAGTGATGGCCCAGCAGTGAGATTAAGCAGTGGCTGAGATACTGCCACACACTGTTCCACTTTGAGGATGACTCTATAAACACAGGTGTCAGCCTGTGGGCATGCTGCCACGGAGCTTGTGTATCTTTAAGTGTAGACATGCCAATGAGGCTACAAACTGGGGGGTAATTTGTGTCTGAGATCACCCACATCCATAAGGTAAGAAGGGGAATGAGGAGCACTCCTTTCTGGGCTGACAAAACAGGGAGTCTACACACAGAGGAGAAAACAGAAATGGTGTGGTGGCTCTTCGTTCCTGTGTGCCCCTTCCCCAGCTCAAACAGGTACCTCGGGAAGGGATGGGAAATGGCAAAGCCTTCATATCACCCCACTTGCTGGCTCGTCTAGCCAAGATGGCACAATGTCAGTTGCTCATCATTTGCAGCTGGTAAAGGAGGGAGCTGTGACTCAGAGACATATCAAGCCTCCCTGGATTTTTCTGGGTGGTGTGGTTCACACCCCACCTCTCATTGCAGGCTTTGCCTCAAGCCAAGTTCTAGCTCAGTGTGCCAGAGACACCTACTGGAAACAGCTGAGCTCAAATTCAGCGGGTGGATAGAGGTGGCTCTGGAACCTCTCTCCCATACTGTTCAGCCAGTAAGTCTTAGTTTTAGTCTAGGTAGGCTACTTCTAGGATGAAAGGATACCTCCTGCATACTTCTCCACCGTACTCCAGTTAACACCTGCAAAGCTATGGGATAATTCACTTGCTTGTTTCTGTAACACAGTCATATTTCTCAGAAGACCGTTAGATTTTTATCTCAGAGATCAGTGAGCAGCCCAGTAGGTGGTAATATTTGCTGTTTAGTTGGGGAGATTAAACTTGCACTGAAGAGGAAATCAGAAAACACTGGTTACCCAGTCACAGCCAAAAGCTGTGTCATACAATATGATGTACATATTTGACAGGCAAAAAGTTTTCCTACCCAGGACATTCATGCCATCCTTAAATTCAAGGCCCTTCTTAATGACCATCTGGGCTTCTGGTGGTGCTTCACGCACTGTCTCATTCATCAGAGCAAAAGCAGAGTCAGTGACATTAGGTGTTTCTTCTATGGGTGGTGGCACCAGCACTTTCTTGGTGACAGTTTGGATCTGAAGACAATAAAAAGGGAGGATGAGAATGGAAACAGACTGAATGCAATCCATATGGGAGATAGGGAAAAAATAATCAAACCAATCTTCACTTGAAATTCCAATGAACTATATTTTTTAAGGATTAGACATGCATTCCACAACCTCTTACCCCTCTTCCAAAAATAAGTTTGTTTTTCAATCGTTCCAAGTGTCACAAAGTCCTGGGAGTCTTCCTCATGACTTTAGTGTGAAAAGTATGGCAAATACTTGTTCCTTACCCCTACATTGTAATCTTTTACAGCTAGTTAGCCCCTTTGTCCCAATGGCTCACAAATGGTGCTTCACAGATTGTATGTTACACATTGACACCATTTATTTAGAACCAAAAGACAGGCTCCTCTAAGATCAGTCACAGCAGCAACTCTGCAGCAAGGCTTGTTATTCAGTTTGGTCTGCCCAGCTAAAGTTATCATAGTTTGATTGTTAAGTCAAAACAAAAACTTAGGCCATTTCCAACGCTTGACTTGGTGACTGCAGGAGCTCAGAATGGAATATACAGTCCCCTTAGCTCTCAAATTAAAATACTGTGAGTGACAGATAAAAGACAAATTATCAAAGCTGCCAGATACCTATTAAATCAAATCTGACCACCTCAAAGAGAGATGACATCAGCATCTGAATGGATCTGCAACCTTCCAGGCACATGAAAGACAGAGTCAAGGGAAAGCTACAAAGGAATGGTAGGGGAGAAATGGGCTTGAGTTTACAGCTAGGAAAAAAGGTAGAAGAAGTGGAAAAAAAGAGAGATCTGTGACTTGCTGTTTTTAGAAGGGTTATTATTTTCCTCCTGCTTCACACCTTGAGCCTTTCCTGTCACTTCATGGCTTTGGGACCAGCAAAATGGCTAGAAAGCTATGACCGGTTTGCCATGGTTTCCCATCTGCTCCCTACTTCCCTTGTTCCTAGAAACATGCTTAAGCAAGGCATCAGAAGTGGTACATTAGCTTTTCAAAGAACATGTGCACCTCTTTCCTCTTGAGTTGGACATTTTAGTTCTAAGGATGATGATCCAGATTTAATCCATGTATTTTAAAACCTTACGGTTGTTTGGTTTTTTGCTTTTTTGTATTCCTTTAGTTTTTGTTATTAAAAAAAAAGTTTTTAAAAACCTTGTGGTTTAAAAACCTGATAGTTTTTAAAATACCTTACATCCCTTCTTTCAAACCCTGCTGTCTGAATCTAGAAAGACGGATATAGACAGAAATTCTACACAGCTTTGTATGAGAAACTCTACAGTTGTCTTGAAACAACCCAACATTCCTTTATGCTTATGATTTTTCAGAGTTAAATTTTATCTGAGGGATGTTGTCAACATATTTTTTTTTATGTGAGGTATCCAGAATGTAAGAATAGAGTCCCAGAAATTAAACTTAAAACATTAAGCTGTACACACTCACAAATTCCACAACAGTCAAAGGTCTTCAGCCCTTCTTTGAACAAGGCCAGTCACTAAAAATGCTGAGCTAAACATCAAATATGGATTCTGACAACAACGTCTGATGCCAGAAAACCATTTAAATGCCACAGTCATATTTATAGATGATAGTCCCATTCTCTTTCATGGCACATAAGATCTTAAGTCTTTGATGGAACAGCCCTTTGCATTATAATTAAGATTTTCTTGTGGATCAGACAAAAATTCAAGAGATATTGAAAAGCCATGATGGTCCAGAGTGCAGTTTGCAAATGAATGGTCTCAAAATTGCAAGCGAATCCCTTCATTGCTTTCTACGTGGCTGCAAGGAAAGGCATCTAAAACTCTCCCACAAACAACAGATACATAGTACTATTGCTGTGCACTCCTCAAGATCATTCTTCACAGGATTTCTGCAACAAATGGCTTCCTCCTAAGGCAACCTGGTAACACTGGGCGCTCATGGAGGGACACTGTATACGTGTAGATAGAGAACACATATGCTGACACCATTAAAAGCAGTTAATTATCCTCCTAAATAAAGAGAGAGAGAAGTAGAGCCTAATGCCTTAAGAAGAAGTTAAGGCTAATAGAAGGCACAAGTTCCATGTGGAAAAGAGTGTGACTTTGCAAACTAAATGTGGCTTTGCGGCAGAGGCTTTCACTGGCAATTAGACTGGAATAAGATAAAATTAAAGACTGGAAAGCCAAAAAAGTTCAGCAGCTTTTTTGACTAAGTTTGAAAACCTGAAATGGACTTGGTGATCCATAACCGGTGAAATGACCTGGACATTGGCATTACACACCCTGAAAAAGCAATAATAAGGATCCAAGGAAACTATCGGACACAGGTAGCTTAGTTGTTCTTTCTCCTGCTTTTAGTCGCTTTGTTGAGATAATTGACCACTTTCAACTGACCAGAAATATAATTCTCCTCTCTTCCACAGTTCAAAAGAGGAAAAGGAAGAAAAAAACCCCTAAGCACCCTGCTCTCCCCTCACTTAATTTTGCAAAAATATATTTGACGTTACATGTAATGTTTAGCCACCGACAGTTTGACCACATAACTGACATTCCAATTATGATTTGGAAATATTGAGAATGTTCTGTCTTTAAACCCCCAAGGACTATGTGTTTTTTATGTGGAAGCCCAAAGAAGTGAAGCAATCCAAGCCCTTTTGGCAGCTTAGGTTGCCCTCAATTCTTCCATCCCCCAAGGCCTCTTCTCCCATCCCCTCTTCACTTTATTCTTTGGCCATAACCACAGCTCCAGCTATCATGCCATTTCACATAGAAACACTTAAGAGCAGGTTTGGCAACAAACCCTGTTCCACCAAAAAAAAAAAAAAAAAAGAAAGAGAAAATAAGTCTGCATTATTGCGAAACAAATCAGTTGTAGGAAAAAACAGCTTACATAGAAGAAATATGCATAAGCAGAAATTAGGAATCAGGCATTGGTCATTTATTTTACCCCTTGAATTGAAGCTGTTCTGATTAAGTATTGGTGAAAACCTTTTTGACAAAACTATTCACCCTCAGAGCAAGCAGTACATGCTGCAAGCATCCTTCTTCTGAGGCATCCCAGATGGCTCAAACCTGGCCTGATGGAGCCACGTGGGTCAAACACTTCACTGGACGATCCCCCCCGGTCTGTACTCTAATACAGCAATAGAAGTTATGAGAGGTTGAGGTTTGGGGTATATGTCCACTGGCAATGAGCTGAAATAAGGATCATTCATATATTAAAAATAGGACATTGCAAAACCATCAGCTCTGTAACTAACAACCAAGATCAAATCAACCTGGGTTAAAGATCTCATAATGCATCAGCTGTTCATTAAGCCAGAATTCATGATCATATATATTGTAAAAAGTGAGGGGAAAAAATTAAGTTTACTTAATAACAAACTTAAAATCATCTTCTTAAAAAAATCTATGAATTTAAATAAAAAACAAAGCAGCTATAAATAATATTCTTTCATTTACCTGCTCAAGAATTAAGACCTGTATATCTGTTTGCTTCACCGTTTCTGTCATTTACCTAAACAATAACATAGACAACCCTGGTGAGTAAAAGGTGTAAAAAAACATTACCAAGGATTAGAAAGATTTACCTGCTGAAAGCATGCTTGGACTAAATTTTCAGGGAACAGGTTTCGGATCAGATCCAAGAAAGCATCCAGACTAGATACTTCATCGTTCTTCTTCCCTTGACCAAGCTGTTTCCTGAGTTTTGGATTCCCTGGATGGATGGCTAAAACCAAAATCACACCCAGCACAGCAGCAATAATAGTGGTGGACATGTAGTAGACCATGGCTCTTGTACCCAATCGGCCACTCGCTTTAGCATCTAAACCAGACAGTCCTGCAGGTGTTTTATTTTAAGAAACAAACAAATATATTGAGGCTCAATATCCAACTCAACAATCATCAAATAAAATCTGTTATACTTTGCAAAGTTTAATGACCGCCTACAGGTGCCTACTTTTGTCCTTGTAGAATTCTCACCACTAGATAGATTCTCCCTCCAGTTCTTCTGTGAACAATGTCTGCTGCTACTGATTTGAAGAAAACCATTTAAGAGGAGACACTGATAAATAAAGAAGATATCCTACTACCTTTGCCCTTGATTGCCCTTGATTGCTGCAAAATTAAAGCTGACACCACACCTTTAAGAAGGCTAGGCTTGTTAGTGTCATGACATCTTATTTGTAAGATCCAACCCAGGTATTAGGTGAAACAGCATATTAAGAAATTTCTGATGTTCAAGAAGGTAGTGTACGTGTACATGTGCTCGAAAATAAATCACTGGAGCGTCTATGCATTAAGGCAAATGAAGTTAATTAGAAAGTAACTCTGAAATAACACACTTCAACTGTAAAATCCCTGACAGGATCACACTATTACTCTTCTTACACTGGAAAAAGGAAACCAGGTGGTATCTGTAGCAAGCATCTTAAAGTATTTATGGCTAATAGATCTTACCTGTGATTAAACTGGAGATAATTAAAGGGAGGATCAGCATTTTTAGCATCCTCATAAGTATATCTCCTGGGAAGGCTATTAACATGATGATGTCAGGGTCAATAGGAGTTGCTAGACGAAGAAGACCCCCACAGACTGCACCCAGGATAACACCTAGAAGAAGAGTAAAAGAGAGCAGCTAGGTAACATAAATATACCTGAACATACATAAATTACTTTTAAGAATAGCCTGGAAGAAAAAAGGCTACATGAGGCAGTAATGAGGAAGATTTTTGTACAGACACAGATTTTGGAAGGCTTATCCCCCTGATTAATACGAAGTTGTAACACGCTTATCATGTATCTTATGATTAAAGAGAAGTTGTTTTGATGTAGAATCTTCTGCCAGCTGAGCTTACACCTGATGCACTATCCTGCAATACAAATTTGCTGCAAGCCACAGTGTTAACTGAGGTTTATTAACACTGTGTAGGCCTTGCAATATATTGAGGGATAGTCACAGATAATTCATATCATTGTTCTACAGGCACCAAGATGTGATTTCTGTAAGGCTATAGAGAATTGATAAGAAAGCAGGCTTAGGACCCAGCTCTTCAGGGTATGACATCTAGCTTTCAATATAAGAATAGTACCACCTGAAAACAAGGTCAGTGTGAGTAGTTATTTTACAGACTAAGAAAAACCCTGCAGGAAAGATTGTCTTGTGCAGGAAATAGTTCTGTGAGGGAAACAGATTCAAGTTTCACTTGGGTGGTTTTAGAAGGGAGTGCCTGATCTGGAATAACTTGAAGAAAACTTATCATAGTATCACAGAATGGTTTTGGTTGGAAGGGACTTTCGAAGGTCATCTAGTCCAATCCCCCTGCAATGAGGAGAGACATCTTCAGTTAGATCTGGTTGTACAGAACCACATCCAGCCTTGCACTGAATGTCTTCAGGGCTGGGGCATCCATCACCTCTCTGGGAATCCTGTACCAGTATTTTACCCTTGTAAAAAATTTCTTCCTCTTGATTCTTAGTGCTCATTTATTACTTCTTCCCTTTAATGGTCTGCATCCTTTTCCTTGTGCTCACATTCTCAAAACACAAACAATCCCTTCATCACTTAGGCGTTATCATTGAAGATCTAAAGCCCTCTCTCCAGATTGAGAATGTTGAAGAATAGCCTATAGGAACAAAAAGGCCATGTTCACATCCGTAACATGGTCTTTGTGAATAGATATTTTATGTTTACATCCAGAATGCCTTTATTTTCCTGGTCCCAAGCCAAATTCTCAAGTGTAATAAAACTTGACAGCAAAGCCTGAATTATGATTTGCAGCAACTATGACTCTTTGAAGAATCAGTTTGATACAGTGGAAAATATATACGTATTTGAAATATTTTCTCGAACTGCATCAGGCACCTTCTAAAAATGATTCAATGCAAATACAGTCTAAACATTTCAGTGGTATGAGTTTCAAAGGCTAAAAATTATGGATGTGAAATTTGCAGCTCAAGACCAGCTGCAGCTGGTCTTTAAAACAATAACAAAATAGCCTATGTGTATGAATTTGCTGCATTTGGCTGTTAGTCTTTCAGTGAAAAAGAAACAGGCAAAGAGCCAGTAAACCACAGTAAAATGTCACACTGTTCCATATTTGGAAGCTGCTAAAGCCAGAGGCAACATTTAGGATGAGATCATGGAGCGCTGACTTACAAATATGAGGAGGGGACAAACCTTAAAAGCAGCAGAGGATGAACTGTGAGATAAAAGATGAAGGGAAGAAAATTTGAAGAGTTTTGTCTTCCCCCCACAAACTCCCCAAAGAGCTTAGAAAAAAAAAAATGTGTAGTGCATTTAGTTCTACTGAACGACATTGATCTGACCAGCCTTGGGACTTAGATCACACTCCATTCAATACCAGATGCAGAAGGTATTGCAGTGGCATGGGTTTGCTCCATGTTGTGTCAGTAACACTCTGCACACCTGAATTAAAGGGGCAGTGGAGAATCCTTGAGGGAGAAGGCTGCAGGGAGGCTTTAGAGCAACTACCAGTGCCTAAAGGGGCCAACAAAAAATCTGGAGAGGGGCTTTTGACAAGGGCCTGTAGGGACAGAACAAGAGGGAATGGCTTTAACCTGACATTTAGATGAAACATTTAGATTAGATCTTAGGCAGAAGTTCTTCCCTGTGAGCTTGCTGAGGCCCTGGCACAGGTTGCCCAGGGAAGCTGTGGCTGCCCCATTCCTGGCAGTGGTCAAGGCTGGGTTGAATGGGGCTTGGAGCAACCTGGTCTGTTGGAAGGTGTCCCTGCCTGTGAGAGGGGGCTGGAACTGGATGAGCTTTAAAGTCCCTTCTAACTCAAACCAGTCGGTGATTCTACGATAATGCTTGTGGGCATCCTATCTACTCTCTGGCTGTTCAGCTGTTCCAGCTGGGGCTGTGGGACTACATAGACAAATACAGATGCATACTGCATATTCAGACCAGCAGAAGTAGCTTACCAAAGACAGTTAGAGTCAGGAGCAGATTCCTATGGAGTGACTGGCAGAACTGAACACATATGTTCCTGGATCTGTGCTCCACGGGACTTAAATGACTTTCATGCATCCGCACTTCTACTTGCTTAGGCATATTGTTGGCACTAGAATAAAAAACGGAAGTTAAGCAAAAGTTATAGCACAAGATGACAGAAGTGAGAGGAAAGTCTGGATTACTTCCACCACATATAACTGAGGAACCTGATGCATGTTCCATTGCTTTCCACATTTCACAAACACTATATATTAACTGCTATGGAGAAGTCTTTGAAATGGCAACGGCTTGTCCCTCTAAAGGTGTAGCTTTTAATGTCTTTTTTTGTCATTGTCTCTCAAAGGGTGGGGATGTAAACAGAACTAATTCAGTGGACACATCATTCCAAGTCTTTCATGGACTCAACTATTGGTTTTGAGCTGGAAAATTCACTTTCTCCCAAAATAATGGCTGTCTACTTAAAGTAGGAGAGATGGCTGGAGAACAAAGTTTCTATTAGCAGGAAAATGCAGATTTTAATAGCGTAATCCTAATGCAGGAAAAGAGTTTTAAAATGAGGATTTATTTGTAAAATAATACATTCCATAATTTTGCTTCATCTTCCCAAAATGTTCCATTTCAGTATTAACATTTTATTGTACTATAATCAGAATGATCTCAAAGGAATCTTTTTCAACTTGTTCTAATCTTTTTTCAACTTGTTCAACTTTTTCAACCCCTACTGAATATTAGTCAGAAAACAACACATTTCCCAAGAAATCCTTCGTTTTTTTTAATTGTAAGGGCGAGAGAAAAAGGTTTTTGACTAACACCGGTATATGTTTGAGTAAGTGATATGGACATGAGTGCATGACTTCGAAAGCCATGCCTCTAACTTTCTCAACACCTGAGAAATCATTAGCAAGACTCCCCTTCTATATACAAGATATTAAAATGCACTACTACAAATAAAACATAGAGTTTCCCTACAAGTTAAGACTGTCTCCGTCAATATGAGAAGTTGGTAAAGAACAAATTCTTTCATTATCAAGTAAATATACATTTTACACTCTTATATTATGCCAGATTAGGATGAGATTTTAGAAAAAAAGAAACCAAATCTTTCTCTACAACAGTAGAATGAGGTCTACAGACCTAAACCAGACCTAAACAGGTCTGAAAGTTACATAAAGTTTCAAATAAAACCACTTTCACGAATCAAAACATTTTCTGTTATATATAGTTGTCCTCATAAAGTTTCTCAACAGAAAGTTTTTAGTAGACCTGTAATAAGAATTCAGCCATTCTGATGCAAATAGTTTCATGATTTCCCTTTCAAAGTGAAATAGCATTTCTTTCCAATATTAAAAAAGTAGCACCAGCAGAAAATGCATTAGAGATTATGTTTTGGTTTCAGGGGGGTTGTTTGGGTTTTTTTTTAAGGGCAAAAAATTCCTCTAAGTCTTGTAATTTTTATTTTGTGCCTTTTAAAATATTTGACAGCGGTGGTTGCAATGAAATGTCCTCCTTTGGTGGAATAACAAACAAGAATATCAGTGCGCCTTCTGACAACTTAAATGTGAGGCATGTCTGCTTCTTGAAGACTTATGAATGCAAGTGGAAGAGATACATGAGGATTAGCCAGGGGATAATATGCATAGCAGTTATCCGAGGAATTATGAGAAAGATGAGGCAAAGTCCGCAGTATTCCTGCTACGCAGGCTACAAAGCCGTGAAATCACCTGTGGAAGTGTGCCACAAAATCAAGGAACTTGGGAACCCAACTTTGCAACTAGGGAACACATCTAGTTTCTCTTGCACTGTGAACACAAATGTATAACTTCTTTAGACCTACAGGTTTATTCGATATGCTACTGAAACTCTGAAATATGGACAGCTGAAAGTAATTAAGAAGTAAACCTTAGAGGCTCCTCCATTAGCAATTAATCAGACTAATTAATTAATGGAATGGATCAGTAAACAGAAGCAGCTGATGATGTTATATGTCTTTCGAGGCTGTTGCTTTGTGCTAGGTTTAGTCTGGTTTCCTGGACCCTTTCCCACCTGACACCATGCCAAATGAAAGCCACCTCACATGTATCTGCTTTCTAAGCAGTGGGTCTTTTCTATAACTCACAGACAACAGAAGCATATCGTTCCCCTGGCACCACTGCTGAAATAAGTCCTTCCATGCATAAGCAAGCCTCTGGTCCTGCTCTTGTACTCAAGCCTTATTTCTATTCCCAACCATTTCTATGTGACAGCATAGTTTGCTGGCCACATACCCCTTCCACTTCAAGTCTGGTCAGCATACAAACCCAGGTTCATGAAGGGAGGAGATGGTGCACCTATTTGTACAGCTGCAGGGACTACTTCAGGATTATACCCCAAAGTGTAGACGGTGGTCAAACAACACAGACCTTCTATATGATAGCAACAATCTTCTTCAAAAGTTCAGCCATGTAACCTCTGAGAAGATAAGGAAATAACACAAAGCTCTTCAAGGACATTCCTAAATTTCCAGGAACTTAATACTGTATTGTGTGCTTCCCTCAAGTGCAAAATAAGGGCTTTACACTCTCCAGCTCTTTTGTAAATGAACCTTCAGCATGGACTGACATTCTGATTAGCACGAGGTTTTTAAAGAAAAGAAGACCCATAACTAAAACATGACAACCATGCGGATGTGTTACAAAAAGCGTTGACATATGAATATCATCACATTAAAAAATGTTACCACAAAGGATAATAATTCAGTTACCACTGCTCTTCAAAATGAGATTTTTATCACCACACCAGAGACAAAGTATTGTTCCAGGCTTTTGAGTAAATTGCAGAAGGAGGGGAGGGGAAATAACAGAGAAATAAAAACCTTCTTCAAAGGATAATAGAAGCTTCTTGTATAGCGCTTGATAAATCCAGATTTTCCCCCAGAAATTATCCATCCAATGACTAGAAGATGAAAATCTGTTTGACCTCTGAATCATGCAAATGAACTGTTGTCTTATGGACATGGTATGCACAAGGTACAAGAAAAAAATAAAAATCTGTCCATCAGCATTTGATTTTAGTTTATCTAAATATTTACAGCTAGTTTTGCATGTAAGATATACAGTGCTATATGAAACAATATTAAACTGCAAATTTCAAGCTGTAGTTTCTCTCTCTCGTTGGCTGCTACGCATAATGGTGTCAAAACGCAGGAATACACTTTCTTAAAACACCAAGTTCTCTGAGATTCTTTGTTCCTATTTCCTCCAAGCATTTCTCTTAGGTTTTATTTTACCTCCCCCTGCGACACTCTGCTGTTCTATTGCTTTTCAAATGCTTCTTTCTCATTTTCTCACTGACATTTCTAGGTCTAAAATGTCAGAAAAACCATTTGCTTCTTTTCCGTGACTATCAAATATAGAGACCGTGTTTAATCTGTATAAGGTATCTTAGATGTGTCAACCAAGCAGGTAATTCTCAGTATAAAATTCTGCTTTTCATAATACTGCTGGGAGGTTAATTTGTCTCTTCAGGTTTGGGAGTTAGCAAGCTGTTTAGAGGAGGAGCAGTTGTTAGCAAACCAAATGGCTATTTTGGAGTAGGACAACAGAATGAGGATAATGGTATTTTTGGGACCTGGCAAAATAGCTCTTAGGTGTTTATTAAGGGTTATTTAGTAGAGACTCAGGGTTTCAGCAAAATAGGAAGGATTTTCGGGAAATTTCTTCCTTGAATAAAGTGCCAGTTTATGTTATGAAGCAATTACTTCAATCTAGGCAGCAAAAGTTATTCTTGAGAAAACAAACTCAAACTGGCTTAAGTTCCAGTTAAGGGTCTAAACCATCTCTTGAGCTAGATGTTTGCTGTCAAACCAAACACTGTTCTCTTCCAAAGCAATAAGTAAACAGCAAGTGTAAATGCCAGTACTTCATAGAATCACGGAGTGATTTGGGTTGGAAGGGACCTGAAAGCTCATCCAGTTCCACCCCCCTGCCACTGGCAGAGACACCTTCCACTAGACCGGGTTGCTCCAAGCCCTGTCCAACCTGGCCTTGAGCACTGCCAGGGATGGGGCAGCCACAGCTTCCCTGGGCAACCTGTGCCAGGGCCTCACCACCCTCACAGGGAAAAAATTCTGCCCAATGTCTAATCTCAGTCTACCCACTTTCAATTTAAAGCCCATTACAACTTGCGCAGTTTTTCCTAGGAAGTCTGGCCTTCTTAAGGAGAAGGGAAAAATAAACCAAGATGGGGTATCATGAAGTTTGGCGCATAGTAATCTTGGACAGAGCTTGTCCTAGCAATCAGTGCAATTGCATGGGAGTAAATGAGAGTTTAACCTGCCCTTAAGAATATCTGTCAAGCAGCTAGGCTTGGAGCAGGGTTGTATCTCTTCCCCTTTCCCTGGAGAGACAGTGTAACACTGATGATTTTGGATCACATGCTGTGTTCGTGACATGGAGAGGGAGTCTGGCTCTCCTCCACCCCACATGATCAGCTTATTCCTATCTCATATGAAAGGGATAGGGTCTATTCTGGTTGCTAGATAAAAGATGAGCAATGGGAAAGAACATATGGAACACCACCAGGACAAAAGGGAATTCACAAGCAGGATGTGAGGACTCCAGACTGTCTGTCACAACTCTTGTGGAACTAGCGCTCAAGCAAGCATCAGCTTACCAAGAAACTTCCAGTTTGAGCTGGAATAACTGGCTGCTGCTTAAGTTAGTTACATCAAGACAAGAATTAATTACACCAAGACAACATCTGTTCAGCTTCTTCTGGGAGACCGTCTGGGACTATATTGTTCCACTGTGCCATGGCATGCGCTGTAGTGTGTGGGGGGTATTTTCCTGGATTAGATGTATTTTTCAAACCACAGTGGAGCTGATAAAGTTCACCACAAACAGCGACAACATAACAGGCCATGCAAGGGAAACAGCTAAAATACATAGAGCACTCCTGCTCTATGATGTCCAGTTCTTAAATGTTGCATTTTATATCAATAAAACATTCTGGTCAGGTCTCATCCTCTTTAAATAAATAACCTCTTCAGACAGTTTGCAGTGTGTAGATCAAGCTTCTTCCTGTGCTAAATTTTTCCTATAAACTTGCAACTTAGATTTTATATTGCATTTT